TTTTTTTTTTTTTTTTTTTTTTTTTTTAATAACACAATTATCTCATTTAACAATTTGCCTTTAAAAAAATACTGTGGTTGTTAGGTTGGTGGTCAGAAGACAAAGGGAGTGAAAATAATTTTCATTTCAATAATTGCCTTCTGGTCAATTTAACTGTGCCTTATTTTGAAAGAGCCTGTCTAAATGAGATTCCTGTCCCAAATGTGTTCCCAGGCCTTAGCCCAGCCTTTAATTATTCCTGAGTTTTTTTTCTTCAGAATAAGACGCTGCACTGAGTAATCACAAAGAAGTCAGAGAGCATCCTTGAACCTTTTCAATAGCAAAGCCACTGATATTCAAATAACATGCAAGGACCATTTGACTGCATGGGGACATAAGCATTTCCAATTCACTATTTGCATAGATCAACTGTCTTTGAAAAGGAAAGGAGCAGTTGTCTTCCATAACATTAAAAAGCCTAGTTATCAAATCAAGTGCTTAGTTTGGGGCTTTTAAAACGTTTACATTTTATCTTAGGTTGCCCTTTACCGTTTGACATGCAAATTTGGTGCAGTTAATTTGGACAATTAAAAGGATCTTCAAGGGAGCTTTGTCACCGAGAATATTCGGAGTTTTCCCCGTGGACCAGCTGAGATAAAGTTGGCCAGAACAAATGATGTCTAGGAGATTAATTAGATATTTGATAAGACATGAATCCCTAATAAGGGAATACAAGGCACAGGGGGCTGCTGTGTGCTCTAAGTCAAAATTAATAACATTTAACAAGATTTTCATTTAGGCATGAAATGTCTTTTCCGGAGTATTGACTCTAGCGATTTATTCCCCCGAGATCACCTCCCAGCCTAGGCAGCCTTGTGCCGCTGAAGGCTTTTAAAATTAAATAAATACTTCCTCAGCACAGTTTGCCTTCACTCGATTTTGGGGACGGTTCCACCAAAGACACTTAGGTCTCAGCATGGTTTCCGGCTGTAGTAGGGCTCGGACTCGGTTAAAATTTGGTTTTTTGTTTCTTTGGGTTTTTTGTTTTGGTTTGGTTTTTTTAAGTAAATCAAAGCAAAGGCGGTTTGAAAAGATCGAGCAGAGTGGTTCAGTGCGCCTCGCTCGGGGGCCGGTCCCATCCCCTCCCAGCTATATCATTGCTGGCTGTATTTTTAATCACAGTGACTATAAGGACCATGGAAAGGGGTACGAAGGCTCCCACTAAAAATGTGACCCCTGCGAGGACTGGGCGGGGGGGGAAGGAGGGGACACGAAGAAGAACAAACCCGTCAGTATATTGTTCAGAGTCCTTTAATAATACCAAAATGAAAATATGTCAAGATTTTTTTCCATACAGATAAACGCATTTAATTTCTTTAAGAGACCTTAACTTACGTGTATTTGAGTGAAGTGTTAACTCAACATTTTAAATATCTTTTACATATATACTGACTTCCACAAAGTGCATCAGAAATTTAAAATAATAAAAAAAAATAATCAGAACCCGAAAACCTCCCTGAATTTCAGGAATTCACCAATTTAAAATAAAAAAAATCCCCCAACCCCCTATCAGATCAACATTTACAAGAAAAATAAGGGAACACGATCTGGTTTTCTTTTTTTTTTTTTTCTGTTTTTCTTCTTTTTTGAACCCTATTTATACAGATGTTTATGAGATACAGAGGGACCGTCTCAGAGTTGCAGCTGTATTTCTCACCTTAAGCCTCTCTTAGGATGCTTGCCTTCCAACAGAAAGAGAAAAGGGAAACGGAAGAAAGTGTCACTCGGTACCTACTGGCCGGGCGGGACGAGGGCCGCGCCTCTCCGGCCCCGCCGTCCACCGGCCCGCCCCCGCGGCGGCCCGGGGCGCCGTCGGCGGCGGGGCAGCTCGCGTCCCTCCGTCCGGCGCGGGGCACAGTCCGAGCGGCTCCGGCGGCGCTGCCCCTAGGAGTCGCCGGGCCCCGCGGTAGGTTCCTTGCCCGGTCCGCGGGCGGCGGCGCCCACCCCCTCGTGCAGGATGAGGTCGGGGGACTCGGAGCGCGGCGTTTCCAGGTTGCTGGCGTCCGTGTCGCTGTCGCTGCCCTTTTTGCCCCCGCCGCCCCCGTTGTGCGTTTTGATGTGTTTGCTCAGGTGGTCGCTGCGCATGAAGCGCTTGTTGCAGACGGGACAGGCGAAGCGCTTCTCGCCCGTGTGAGTCCGCAGGTGCCGCTGCAGCTCGTCGGAGCGGGTGAAGCGCTTCCCGCAGAAGAGCCAGTTGCAGACGAAGGGCCGCTCGCCCGTGTGCCAGCGCAGGTGCGCCTTCAGGTGCGAGGTCTTGCCGTACACCTTGCCGCAGCCGGGGCTGTGGCAGCTGTGCAGCCCCTTGCG